ACCACAAAAGAAAGAAATCAAAAATGTTTTGCTACTACAATTAATAGCCGTGAATGTTCAATTTTAATCATGTTTCCGCAAAATTCCCGTTTCTAAATTCTATTTGTATATAATATTATATTGGTTTTCTATTATTGTAATTGTGTTTAAATTTTATAGGTTCTCCTTTGTGTAAATGTTCAATATCTGAATTATTTTGAATTACAACTCGTGCCTCTGTGTCGGTGTAAACCTGTAAACATTAATTCAAATATTCTACTGTTTCTTTTTTGTTACATCTTGCTGTGTAAAAATCGTTATTACTCGAACTTTCCTGTAATCGCTGTGACATTTCATTTTTCATGTACTAACAGCATGACGTCTGTACCCTTCATGCCTTCATTCATTCTTAATTACATTTTTACGATTGGTTTCTTAAATGCTTTGGGACTAAATTCAAATTTTTAATATTTCTTAACTGCAGTATTTTCTAACTCTGTTATACTTCATTTACTTTCTCTAGCGATGTTCCCCTTGTCTGGATGCGCGCTGGCAAAATCGTAGGTAGGGAGAAAAGAAGCTCATTATACTCTCGACTCTTATACATTAAACATACTTTTTCGTACAGTACCTGCCCAAAGTTTTGTTCAATCATGAATAGTAGTGCGAGTCGAAAACAAGCGTCAAAGCCTTTAATATGTCTTCAAATATAAATAAACATCTCGTTGGTATTTTCAGCAGTAATTGGTACCATTAACAGCACATTTGAGCAATGCAATTTTAGTAGATAAAATAGTCAATTTTTCCGTGCAGTACTGTACGGATTATACGCTCCTCACCGGTTAAGAGTTGTCTCCTTCCTTTTCTGGCCTAGTGCTGTTCTTTTCTAATTTGCGCCGGTCAAATTGAAGGTCACATCGCTACAGAAAGTAAACGAAGTATACCACCTTATTGGTACCCTATTTTCTATCTATCAGCTGTTAGCTTCTCATTCATAGTTTTTCCAAAAACCAGTATTTTGTAAAGTACTACTTAGTCAGTTAGTCCTCAGCTTTTCTTGGAGTTACAATTGAATGTTTTTCGCATTTTAAGTTTTCATTGTTCAGTTTGTAAATATATCGTTGTTGTCTTATTCTTTGGTGTTTAATTTGTTAATTAGTCCTCCAATTGTACTCCAAAAGACTAAAGTGATACAAGAGACCAAAAAGTAGAGCGTTAATTAGTTAGGTACTATTATTATACGCATGTACAGGTAAGGAACCTCTTTTCAGCAAAAAAACTGATTACAGATTGTTTTATATCATCATTATATCATTTGATCCCATCAATCATCGACGTGACAATTATTAAATTATTATTATTACCTTGATAAAAATAAAGGTCACTACAAAAATAGCATTTTTATCTAAAAGACAAATACAGAAGACACTTATGAAGAATTAGAAAACATTCCGATTGTAAGTAACAGGAGGTACAGGCGTGACAATAATAAGTCTAGAAAATATTCGTTTCGAATATTTAATACGAATAATTAATATCACCTGATTAACACCGCATTGACCTACTTATATCTGTTATTATTCAACTGTTAAGACTGTACGTTTGAAGCGCGGCGCTGTAAGGGTACGAAACATGGACAGTGGGCGCGGCGGAAAAGAAATGATTAGAAACATTCGAAATGTGGTCTTACAGGCGAATGGTGAGGATACCGCGGATAGAGAAGGTTCGAAATGGAGAGATATTAGAAAGAATAGGAGAACAGAGGACTCTATGGATGTCAATAAGAAATAGGCGAGATAGGTAGGTAGGACACCTTCTTTGGTATGAAGGTCTAGTCAGAGACATATTAGAAGCAGAAACGGGAGTTAGAACGGGTAGAGGTAGACCATGGTTAGATTACTGTTCACAAATAGTTAAGGATGTGGGATGTTCTAGTTTTAGGAAAATGCGAAGATTAGCTCAGAATAGGAAAGAGTGGAGGTGTGTGTCCAACAAGTCGTAGGCCTGGCGACCTTATGATGATGATGAAAACTGTATTAATATTTTTTATCGATTAATTGGGCTTTTTTTCTGTTTGGATTAGTTACTTATTGTTTTAAACTGCAAAAATTAAAAATTAGTAGTAATTTTAAGACAACCAACAAGTTTTGGAGTCAAATTGTAATTATGGCAACACCAGTAAAGTAGATTGATGAATGTTTTAGTGGGTGATTTTTTTTTTGCTAACTACACAACAGATTTCATTCAATCACGTGCTACGTTAAAAAAATGATAACACCGATATCTTTTTGAATAACACGTGCAGTCGTGATTACAATATCTGTCAGTATACCTACTGTAGTCTTTTCTGGATTAATGTTCTGATTGTCCTAAATTTTAAAAGTACTGATTAAAGAGCAGATGCCTTTGGGTACATATAGAAAGTGTAAATGTACTTTCGAAAGGACATTCTGATAGAGGGATAGAAAGCACTTCATTTTGTAGCTAATTGTGTATAATCAAAATATATGTATGTATGTACAAAGTACCTATAAGAAGTCAAATTTTTAGACAGTAGGTACTTATGTCAATTATTTATGATATAAATAATTTTGTTTGACAATGAAAACAACAACAATATGCCATTTTCAATAAGATTACTTATTGTTACAATAGAGGGCATTAAACAATTGTGTTTATCAGAGCCAGTAGATAGAGAGAGTAGCGTAATCGTTTGGTCCGCCGAATGACGCCATGTTTACTCTAATTGCCAAATTGACAGACGATGGACATTCGATTAGTCCAAGAAATTTTGAAAAACATTGAAAAATAGGCTCAGGAAGGCGATTCATTTCAATGGGCGATTGCGCTACTCTTTCTATCTACTGACTCTGGTATTTATTTTTCGTTTTTCCTCAAAAAATAGATATTCAGAAATACATTGGGTACTTTGCATATTTAGAATCCACAAACGAGTTCAAATCAATTAAGTATCCGGAGTCTATTTTATAATCAGTTTATTTTGAATTACAACTCGTGCCTCTGTGTCGGTGTAAACCTGTAAACATTAATTCAAATATTCTACTGTTTCTTTTTTGTTACATCTTGCTGTGTAAAAATCGTTATTACTCGAACTTTCCTGTAATCGCTGTGACATTTCATTTTTCATGTACTAACAGCATGACGTCTGTACCCTTCATGCCTTCATTCATTCTTAATTACATTTTTACGATTGGTTTCTTAAATGCTTTGGGACTNTCATGTCGAAGCTGCTAGAGACAGAGCAGAAGAATCTTATAATACCAATTTATATCAGAATATCAAGTATGCCTTGGTCGGCGATTCGCTTTTATCCACCTTTGTTTCCTAGGAAAGTCAAGAAGGTGTTGATTATCGTTTCGTTTTATACGTTGATAATTCCTGAACTGCCTTGTGCCTAGTCTAGGGCTTTGAGTAAAGATAAAAAGATAGATATGGTTTTTGTCCTTGGGGAATGCGAGCGAAATCCTCTCCTGGTATCTTGAGTGTATGCTCAACGATATCCAAACAGACGTAATCTTCCAGTAGATGCTTTCCGCAGGGTGCTACAGTGGTTTTTTTACCAGCGGATCAGTGAAATCTGCACCTAGAAAGTACCTTAAAACTGTCTATACGGAAGGAAATGAGTATCTGTATCTGTTTTACCTTCACTCAAAGCCATAGTTAAACAGTTCAGAAATTAACAACGTATAAATCGAAACATTACTTAACAACTTCTTAAGCACACGGAATTGATGTTCGTAGGAAACAAAGGTGGAGAAAAGCGAATCGCCGACCAAGGCAAACTTCACGTCATTGGGAGCCAGGTCTGGATTCTGACACAACTTCAAATAATCTAATTTCAAAATCCAACGTACACTAATTTTTTTCATATGGAAACGTCCATGTAAAATCTCACCAATTCGTTATTTGTAATGTGTAGTTCTTCTGCTATTTGCCATAATTTAATTCCACGATCAACCAGTACTAATTTTTCCGCCTTCTGGTCAGGATCGTGGCTGGGCGGCCCAAGCGAGAGTCGTCTTCACAGATTGAAATAGCCGAGCCCATCGTATACGAAGGTGCAGAATCCTGAAGAATCGACGACATCCCTTTAAAAATTTCTTACGACGTATTTCCTTTTTTAACAAGGAATTTAATCACAGCGCGGTGCTCCAAATTGCAAGAATTTCCATTTCTGTTGACATAGTGTTGTTGCCTGTTCCAGGGATAAAATGATAATGAACTTAATAAAGAAAATTCGTGTAATTTATACTAACAAGGAGTCTCACAACTTGTGTTATTAATAACGAGATGATAACTCATCGCTAAGTACCGTAGACCGAATTTATCAGCCTGCACTTGTATGTAATCAATAATTAGGAAAGTCCACGTGAAGGTGCAGCAAATACGTAGACAAAAGTTCTTATTAGTTATTCAATTCTTACCTATCAAACTGTTTGGAAAATTTGTAATTTTAGTAGGCGTGTTTGTTGCAGTAGATGATGGACTATCCCGAAACATATGTCAATTACACCAGTATATTATTACTGCAATATCTGAAACTGTCTATTTATTTATTAATTTTATTAGAGATCAATCAATTTATTACAACTTAATGTAAGATGTGTCTTGAAACCACCAATTTATTCTGTCACTCTCTATAGAATTCAACTTCAGTCGAGCAATTAAACCATTTATCAATGATATGGATTTGAGAAAGATATATTTAGAAATGCACACTTATTGATTTTTAGTACTAGCGAATTATTTTTGATATTCGTAAGGATTTACTACTGTTTTGTTTCGAAATAAATTTATTTTTAAAGTAACGAGCACCAAAATATTTTCTCTTATTTGTATGTTACGTATATTTCCTGTTTTGATGATTCTGATACTATTTTAAAAATAACATCAATGATTGGTAAATCAGACTGAAAAATTAACGATAATGTGATCTTATCTACTACACCTTTTTTAATCAACATGTAGGTATATAAACGTTTAGCGGTTTTTATTTTAAAGTAGTTCTAGAATTTGAAATCGTTTAATCTCCAGCTGGAAGAAATGACGTTTGAAATAGTTTTTGTTTTTTATTGGATAATCCACATAATAGTCAATATCAAAGGTATGTTTCTCTGTTTTATAACTTCCGGTTATAGAAAAATTTAACGTCAAACCTGTGTTTACACTTTTTAATATAATTAATAAATATAATGCAAATGATCCTGTTCAGAAACGTTGGACTTGCATTTGCTTTTTTCAGGGCCGGACTGGCCCNAAATTTTTTTAATAGTTTTCAAATTTTGTTATAAAAGGAAAATAAAAAACAAACTATAAAAATTTCATTTTGTGACGTGCTGCCTTCTTTTATTTTCTTTTCTTATCTTGTATGCATCCCTTTTTAACTTTTTTATGTTTGCATTTGGCAGAAATCTAGTACAATATTAAAACTTGCAGCATCATTTTTATTTTGTACTACCTTTTAAATAAAAATTCAATTACAATCAGTTAGCATGGGTTGTTATTGTTTTCTTGTTATTTAAACAAATGTACTATTTAGAATTGCGTAAATTAAATCATCATATCAGAAGGTCTTACGTTCGAAGACGGATTGGACTCTCCCTTCATGTCTCAGAAGATGTCCTATTATTGAAATAATTCCATGAATTAATTACAGGTGTATCAACTTCGAAGCAACCGAATACACTTTCAACAAATGACGATGGTAAGTTTAGATATTGATTATTTTATATTATATTCTACTATTATTCGATTTTTTTTCTTGTAGGTCATTCAGAGAAAGTGAAGGGATTTGGTGCATTCAGCAATGATGAAGTTGAAGAACGCACGGGTAAGTTATCAGTTTTGTTATAAACATCATATTCATCTCAAAATTCATTTTACAAACAATGAAGTCTTAAAATTATGTTGAACTTGAAAGATAACATAATGAATTATTATACAATTTTAGCGACTTTACGAATCATGTATGAGTGGCTCTCCTATTTCTTAAACTTCTGCTAATTTAGTTGAGTGAACTAATTGCTGACCTTCGAAACTTTTTGCCAGGCTTTTAATTAAATTGCAGACGTTTAGAATTCATAGTCCTATTACTTGACACATTACATGCAAAAAGCGAGATGAATTTCTATTTAAAAAATTGATCACAGTTGCTTCTCTAAATTATTAAGGATTAATAGTCAACGTTGTCATTCATTTAATTCCTTTTTCTTACTCGTTTTGTTTTTAACTAGAATTCGTGTTGAAATGAGGTGGAAGTATCGTCGTCTTTCGCGCCCAAATTGTTGTCATTACTATAGCGTTTTTATATCATTAAATTATTTTACATTAATCAAATTTTATATTGAAAGATTTATTATTTCAAATCAAAGGAGACAAAATAGAAAGATCGCACATTCACTGTAAATCTTTTGTTTTAATTTTTAGATTATCTTGTTTGATATGAAAAACGTACCCGTGTTCTCTCTTGTTATCTTCTTATTGCGTAGTTCAATAAACGTATTTATTTTATTAAATAAAGTAGATATGTTAACGGAAATGTGTGTGTAATTCGTCATTATATACAATTCCTAGGAAATGTACATAATTCCTAAAATCGCGTGGAAATGTGTGAAATAAATTAGACACATTTCCTAGGAAATCTATACATTTCCTAAATAATAATCGAAAATGTAGCCCAGCGAGAGGAGGGTATTCATTTTATTCACAGAAGGCATTACTTTTATGCATTTCGTAGTACAATATTGGAATTTCATACGATTACTAGGAAATGTATACATTTTCCGGGATATGTGTGTAATAAAAAATTTTTGAAACAATATTTTATACATTTCCTAAATAGCCTCGGAATTGTATATATTTTCTAGGAATTGTAGATATCATACATTTCCGGTAACATATTCCGGGTACGAAAATTGTGAAGCAACTTGAAAACGTAGTGTAACAATAACACAGAACATTTGCTATTTATTTTTGATTTTTATATTCTTTTGGCTAAATGTATAAACTTCGTCCAGCTTGGTCTTTATAATACAGCTCTGTAGCATCACAATCATTACAATCAATTTTGTATGCACCTTATTATCTGTTCATATTAATTTGTTCAACTCTGTTAAAAACTGATAAACGTTTCAAACTTTTTTTGAATCTACAATTATTTTTATTTTGAGATTTTATAGTCCATAGTAGATGTGTGGACTAATTTAAATGTTCTTATTGTTAGAGATTCTAATAAAATAGTAAAAATGATGACGTTCAACTATATTAAAAGTACTTCATTGAAAAAAAAATTTATTTTGATTTTGAGATTTCACAGTCCATAACAGACGTGTGGACTAATTTACATTTTGCTATTATTCTAATAAAACAGTTAAAGTAATGATTAAAAATTAAAAGGAATACTCACCCCTAATTACCACAGATAATTTTATTTGAGCGGACACGTGTTTCATTCGTGGGCGTTATCAACGCGAGACTAAATAATAAAATAAAATTATTTGTGGTAATTAGGGGTGAGTATTCCTTTTAATTTTTAATTAACATTTACCACAGTCTCCTCTTTCTAATTTAAAGTAATGATGTTCAACTATAAGTACAAGTACTTCATTGAAGAAATAAAAACATTTTTAAACTTGACATTTTTGTGGAAAACCATCAATTTGTGTTTGTGTAACTTCTGCAATGTTAATTCAATACTGAATATATATTTTTATTTGCAGAGGTAGATGTCACTTTTTTTAACAACTTCGGTTACATTTCAATTGCGATAGGTGTATTCCTTCTAATCTATGTTACCCTCAAATGTTTGAGAAACTACATGAAATCACGTAGGACGCAACGTGTCACTAATGAATCTCCACAGATTTCTGTTAAAGTAGAGGAAGTGTTACCTCCTCCCCCGTACGAACTATTTGCCCCTCCAAATTATGAAACTGCTAATACAATCAACGAACAAAACTGTAACCATTGTGGATGCGATTGTCAAAATAAGTCGAGGTACTAGATTGTATCATGTAATTTTAAAGGTCTCTTAGAAGCTCTTCTTTTATTGAACTGGATGGGCTTCCATTTCATTGATATTGATTATAGATCTGAACTATGTGTACGTTTTTGTAAAACTGCAACTTTTGTAAATTGTATTTAAACAAGTAATATTTAGTTCATTATTATTATTTAATATAAAATGATAATTAAGTATAAAGATAACGAAGCTTTTTTTATGTTATATCCTGTATTTCACCCTCTTCTAAGTGGATAATCCCAATATTTCACGGTAGAAATCCTTCATACATATGAAAGAAGGATTTTTGTAAGAAAGTTTTCTTCATGGTTGAAAAACATTACCTGATAATATACGTAAAAATGATCATGCTGTAGAAGTACTGTCATGCTTTTTATGAACATAAAATAATGATACTTTGAACACAAATGGTTGTAGTCTGAACAAAACTTAAGCTGGGTGAGTTGTTCACATTCACGACGAGAACAACGAAACTGTGAAAACTTTTGACCCTTAGCTAACCCGAAGTTATGTTTACGCTAATGAAGGGCTAAAGAAAGTACGACACTTCGTAACAATTAATCTGGAAACAGAAGTAAATAACCTTCTCTTTCCTGAGACGGCTGATGTTTAACTATTATCTTGAAAGCAGCAATCTTTAATTGTATTCGTGAAAGTCATAACATGGCGGAAAACATTAAAGGAAGAACTTGAAAACATAAGAACTAACAGTTGAGAGAATAATCTAGTCAGTCAAGTTTTGTCAGAGTTTTTACGGGTAAATATGTGTATATATTTATTATTATCAATTAAAGCAAAAAGAAGCTTATCAACTTTACCAAATTTTATTAACAAAAATTTGAAGGTAAGTATATGTCTTTATGTAGCGTGAATTTCTGTCACCCAAGGCGAAGCCTAAGTTTGTCGCCCTTTCCATTTCTACAATTATGTAGAACCTTCTATTTAAATTAGCCGGGATTACAGTGAGAAGGTGTACATAAAAGCTTATATTTTTAAGCTGATCTCCCTTCATGTCTCAGAAGATGTCCTATTATTGAAATAATTCCATGAATTAATTACAGGTGTATCAACTTCGAAGCAACCGAATACACTTTCAACAAATGACGATGGTAAGTTTAGATATTGATTATTTTATATTATATTCTACTATTATTCGATTTTTTTTCTTGTAGGTCATTCAGAGAAAGTGAAGGGATTTGGTGCATTCAGCAATGATGAAGTTGAAGAACGCACGGGTAAGTTATCAGTTTTGTTATAAACATCATATTCATCTCAAAATTCATTTTACAAACAATGAAGTCTTAAAATTATGTTGAACTTGAAAGATAACATAATGAATTATTATACAATTTTAGCGACTTTACGAATCATGTATGAGTGGCTCTCCTATTTCTTAAACTTCTGCTAATTTAGTTGAGTGAACTAATTGCTGACCTTCGAAACTTTTTGCCAGGCTTTTAATTAAATTGCAGACGTTTAGAATTCATAGTCCTATTACTTGACACATTACATGCAAAAAGCGAGATGAATTTCTATTTAAAAAATTGATCACAGTTGCTTCTCTAAATTATTAAGGATTAATAGTCAACGTTGTCATTCATTTAATTCCTTTTTCTTACTCGTTTTGTTTTTAACTAGAATTCGTGTTGAAATGAGGTGGAAGTATCGTCGTCTTTCGCGCCCAAATTGTTGTCATTACTATAGCGTTTTTATATCATTAAATTATTTTACATTAATCAAATTTTATATTGAAAGATTTATTATTTCAAATCAAAGGAGACAAAATAGAAAGATCGCACATTCACTGTAAATCTTTTGTTTTAATTTTTAGATTATCTTGTTTGATATGAAAAACGTACCCGTGTTCNATAAGTTGTTTTCTCAGGCATGAAGGTCTAGTCAGAGACATATTAGAGGCAGAAACGGGAGTTAGGAGGGATAGAGGTAGACCTAGATTAGATTACTGTTCGCAAATAGTTAAGCAAGTGGGTTGTTCTAGTTCTAGGGAAATGCGAAGTTTAGCTCAGGATAGGAAAGAGTGGAGGTACGTGTCCAACCAGTCTTAGGACTGACAACCTTATGATGATGATGATGACAGCCATATCTACTAAGTATGTTTTACACATACGAATTTGTATTTTTTACGTTTTTATGAATGAAAAATACCACAAACAAAATAGGTGATTGAAAAAAATATTCAGGAGAGTAGTAATTTTCGAGGTACCTATCCTTTGTGACTGAATTATTGAAATCTGGTTTCAGAACTGCCCTAACCCATTAAAATTTTAAAATATCATGACTTCAGTGCCCATATGATGTCAGTGTGGCTTGCTTAACTATAAAATTAGGATATGCCGCTATTCAAACGGGTTTAAGTTTTTCTAAAACCAAATTGGAGTTTCCGTCGGCAAGCTCAAATCTGTTTTAACAAATGCTCTAGTACGTTACAATTTCGAAGTATCATTCGGATTCTGAGGTTAAGATATTTCAATTCTGAGGCTAGATTTTAGTGAGCAACAACAGATAAGTCATAAATGATTACCCTTGGCTATAGTCGGCCTTTTAGTTGATCACTCAAATGCCAAAAACTGTAATTTCTGAAAAACTCTGACGTGTTAAGACAATTGTGAGAACACTTCGTACTCAGCCTCATAAACTATGAATATGTCGGAAGCGTCACCGTAGTCAACAACTATTAGTGCTTAATTAAACTAAGAGGAGTTACTGCAAATAATATCAGAAAAACAAATCTTTTTTGTTAATTTTTACATAAAATTTTGGAAAATTAAGTGTCAAAAATGATGTTGTCCAAATGTTGACCTCCGCGCTGCTGGCACTCCTTCGACCGAAAACAGAAATTAACCGCCAAGCGTCTACACATCTCTCTGGAAACGGCGGCCATATCAGTGTGGATATTGTGCTTCAGTTCCAGTAGAGATAGTGTTTTTTTTGCATACACCTTCCCTTTAAGGTATCCTCATAAAAAATAATCAGGTAGTGTGAGATCGGAGGCCAGTTGATGGTGACTCGACGAGAGATCATTTTTTCAGGAAAAAGTTTATTGTCAACCGCAAGTAATTGATTTCAGATGTGGCAAGTGGCCCCTTCTTGTTGAAAAAATATGTCTACATAAAAACCACCAAACTCTTGCAGTTGTGAAACAAAAGTTTCATAACATGTCACAATACCGGTTACTGTTTAAAGTAAGTGTTCGTCCTCGCCGGTCTTCACAAAAAGAAGGTCCGATGATGCCTTCACCAGACATGGCAGCCCACGCAATAACTTTTGAACTGTGTAATGGTTGTTCATGTTTATGTGTTGAATTTTCTTTGGCCCAGTAGCGACAGTTCTGTTTGTTTACGTGGCCATTTAAGTGAAAGTTCACTTCGTCACTAAACAGAATGTTTTCAAGCGTGGGAAAGCGATGAAGCATTTCATTTGCAAAATTCAGTCGGAGAGGATAATCGGTAACATTCAGTTTTTGAACTAACTGAATTTTGTAGGCTGTACGATGTAAATCTTGCTTCAGAATCTTCTGTAACGACGATCTTTTCATGTCATATTGACTGCGTTTGCGAACTGATTGAGATGGATTTTCACGCACTGACACTCTCACTTCTTCAATTGTTTGTNAAATTAACCGCCAAGCGTCTACACATCTCTCTGGAAACGGCGGCCATATCAGTGTGGATATTGTGCTTCAGTTCCAGTAGAGATAGTGTTTTTTTTTCATACACCTTCCCTTTAAGGTATCCTCATAAAAAATAATCAGGTAGTGTGAGATCGGAGGCCAGTTGATGGTGTCTCGACGAGAGATCATTTTTTCAGGAAAAAGTTTATTGTCAACCGCAAGCAATTGATTTCAGATGTGGCAAGGGGCCCCTTCTTGTTGAAAAAAACTACCAAACTCTTGCAGTTGGTTAACCAAAGTTTCATAACATGTCACAATACGGGTTACTGTTTAAAGTAAGTGTTCGCCCTCGCCGGTCTTCACAAAAAGACGGTCCAATGATGCCTTCGCCAGACATGGCAGCCCACGCAATAACTTTTGAACTGTGTAATGGTTGTTCAAGTTTATGTCTTGGTTTTTCTTTGGCCCAGTAGCGACAGTTATGTTTGTTTATATGACCATTTAAGTGAAAGTTCGCTTCGTCACTAAACAGAATGTTTTCAAGCGTGGGAAAGCGATGAAGCATTTCGTTTGCAAAATTCAGTCGGAGAGGATAATCGGTAACGTTCAGTTTTTGAACTAACTGAATTTTGTAGGCTGTACGATGTAAATCTTGCTTCAGAATCTTCTGTAACGACGATCTTTTCATGTCATATTGACTGCGTTTGCGAACTGATTGAGATGGATTTTCACGCACTGACACTCTCACTTCTTCAATTGTTTGTTGGGTTCGAACAGAGTGCGGGCAACCTGGTTTGTGAATTTTTGCAGTCGAACCGATATTCTCGATTATTCGAATACATTTTCTGATGATAACGTCCTTCGGTGTATTCCGTACATTAAATTTTGTCATGGATCATCATCGGATCACCATTGCGACAATAGACGCATACGCTAAAAGCAAAATGGTCTCCCGAGTACACTTCCATGGTCATTTCCAAAAAGTAGTAAGACAACCGATAGGGATACCTACTCCTAACCGCGCCGTTACAAATACCCTCTACTATTTCTGAACACCTTGGACTGTCTACTACCTTCAATAAACGCGCACACGTGTTACCATTTTCAACTCAAGACAGTCTTAATCTACCCTTCTCAACTCCTGTTTCTGCTTCTAATATGCCTCTAACTAGCCCTTCATGTTTGATGAGGCGTTCTACTAACCTATCTTTCTTATTTCTTATCCATTTCCGTCTGTTCTCCTGCTCTTTCTTATACCTCAACATTTGTAACCCTTTTCACAGTAATTTTGACATCCTGATTTTATTTTTTGCCGCGTCCACCCTATAATCAAGAACATTATCCGTGGCTAGGGATTTTTTAAGTACAATAATTGATTATTACTCACGTAGACACTACAGAAACCACCAAAAGAATTGTACCGGTAGTCCAGGAGTAGAATAAATTTTGTTTTGACACGCGGGTGATCTGGGTTCCATCCCCGGCTGATACAATATCTTTTTGTTTACTTATTT